TGTCTATAGATTAGAAAAATAAAAAATTTGTCCACAATAATTTTTACAGCTCTCAATTCATCTAACACAACTTCAAGACATTTTTGAAAATCTTTTCTTGAGAAAGGTCTGTTTTAAAATATGTTTTCAATGTGTGTGTGTTTTAGCCATGTATTTTTATAAGAATACCCTTTTACAAAGTGTTCACTCATACTAATTAAGGTAGAGTTTTCTTTCACGACTTGCTTGAGTTTCCTTGAGATGAGACTTTAGTTATATTCTTTTTGATTGCTTTTATCGGATAATCAAATCCAGCAAACTCTAATACTTAGGTTTGCATCTTTATCTGCTTAACCGCTTATGCTTGACTTGTTAGTAGACATTAGTTGTCATTATCAAAAGATGATGTCCTTGTTAAAAGCATATCACAAGCAAAATAAGGTTTCATAAAAACAATATCGGTCAATCGAATATACATGCTTAAAAATATAATATATAATTTAATTCGGAAACCAGATAATCATACAAACATATATAAAAGTAAATGAACTACCAATTAATTTTAAAAATAATTAAATATATTGAAAAAGTTCATATTGACAGTAATTCCAGAAAATTAAGAAACAATCAACGAAGATTTGATGACTTATCTAATTCTTTTTCAATATATATCTTTAATACCTTGAATACTCTTCGTATTAAGAGAAGATAAATTATTTGTTCAGGTAATAATTATTAAATATAAAAATATTCCAAATGGTAAAACCTTAGAGCATATTTATATTGAATTAGAGGCAGTACCATAGCACTGTTTTGTCTCCGACTAAAATCAGCATGTGAAGTGTGAACCATAATGACTGAGGTTTGAGTTTGATATTCTTGAGTTGAGTTGCGCCGCTATTGTCTACCACCATTTCAGTACCGTGAACAGCAGAGTCAACTAGACTAGCTACTTGCCTTGTTACTACAGTGAAGCAGACAAAACTTAATTAAACGGTACACTCCCATAAAGGGTTCTCTCTAGACGCAAAAAGCTGCACCTCAAAACCGTATCATCACTGTCGTGATTCAGACAAGAGAACCTCACTCATAGGTCAAATATTTTACATTAAAAGTTGGTGAAAAAAGTTGTCTGGTTGCTTTCTCATTCCACATATTATTATTATTTTACTACTAGCATGTAACTATTCAAGCTTATAGTACTAGTACAAATTAAGAACATGCTAATGCAAATCAAACATTTATATAATTAAGTTCACAACTCACAAGATACAACAAACAATGCAACTTATTTGTCCTTTTTCCATCCTATTATGCTATAACTATCTTTATTGCACCTTCTTCTCATACACACCAAACCTTAATCAAAATCAAATTCAAACTAGTCCTAATAACTCCTCATTAAGATAGATATAACAATATCAAAACCCTAGTCAACAATAACCATAAATTGAAACACTGAATTAAGATCTTAACCATGGACTAGTCCATAAGATAAAGCCATGAGAAGGATCGCAGCTTCCTTCTCATCCTGAGGAAAAACTTGTTGAACAGCTAGGTTCTGGTTCAAGCTTAATCTTAGATCCTCGAAAGTGATGAACTTGTTTCTACTAATTTGAGATGGTGTTGTTGCTTCAAGCTTGCGTTTCTTTTTCATGTGTGGTGAACATTCAAACTCAATTTTGGACTTATTCTCTTTTTTCTTCTGCAACTTTTTTCTCTTTGCAGAACATGTCTCATGATCAGCTATTGTTGTTCCGTTTTCAGACGCTGCAGCCAATGCCATGGCACGTCTCGCCTTCCTTTGTCTAATCCCACACGCGTTGCAAAGTGACTGTTGAATTTTTCAATATAAACAACAACAACAAAAAAATCATGATTTGTCGAAAATTACCATAAATCCAAACACAAGACTTAAATTTGAAGCTTTTAGAAAATTCTAATTACAAAACATATAGAAATATATATATACCTTGGGGCCTCTAGGTCCACTCCTCCAAAGAGGTGTCTTAGTGGTGTTGCAATCGGAACAAACCCTAATAGTAGGGCTATTATAGCTGAGATGAGTCGAGTAATTGTTGTTGCTATTGTTGCTGCTATTATCTGTTCCTTGTTGTTGTTGATCTTCAAACTTAACTGGTTTAGCTTCACCGGTTTGAGGATCAGTAGCCATCATCTTTTTCATTATTCTCATCTTTGATGACATCCACTTCATTGAATTACCATCTTGATCGTAATCAGCTTGAATATTATGAGTTTCATCGGTACTAGTTTCTTCTTTCTTCCAGCGAATTGTTAGCTTATGTTTGCTTCTGCTGCTCTCGTGGTTTTCCGCGCTTGATCCACTTGATGGAATAGTAATCTTCTTAACCTAAATAAAGATCACACATGATCAAATTAAAGGAATCCAAAACAAACACATGGCATAAATTACATGATGCGTATAAACATATTTTACCTCTTCATAATCATGCTTTGTTTCGAAGTAGTAAGACGGTTCATCTAGAACTTGATCTGGTAGGTTAGGATAAGATGATGATGATGGAGAAGAAAATGAAGAAGAAGAGGCAAGATGAGTTGGACTAGAAAGATGATCATGGTTTTGATCTTGATTAAGATCTAGAGGCATAAGGTGATAAGGTGGCGGTAACATGATGCATACAAAGAAAATATAGACAAGAGGGTGAGGGAGGAAGATTAGATATGCAAGGAGAGTGTATATATGAAACTGAAACGGTATTGTTTCATCTTTTTGTCCACTAATATATAAGAGATCAAGAGAGGGAGAAAATGGGATCACAACATACATGTGGCAACATGTCTACTCATCATCATATAAACAAATATATTCCTCTAAATTGTTTAGTATTTTTCCTATTCATAAATAAATATTCCTTTAAATTGTGTCCTGTCATTATTAATTTGATGTTTCCTGAAAGAAATGTTACATGAAAATTAAGCTATTTAATTACATAAGTTAAAAAAAAATTCAGGAGTCAGTGAAGGAGTTAAAAGATATAGAGGATTATTGAAAAATACTATCATAACTAATATATTAAATTGTTTATAAAAAAGTTTAAAAAATTAAGCCCAAAAATAATAATAATATAAAGTTAAAAATAATTTTTAAAAGATATCAAAACTTCATTAAATAAATTTACATGTTAAAAGTAGTGTAAAGTAGCGTAGAAAATAATAAAATTGAAAAATAATTATTTTATTAAATTTAAAAAATAAAAAATAAATAAATTAGTTGAGTTAAAAAGATATAAATTCTATAATATTTATTTATATTTATGTATTAATATAAATAAATCGTTAATATTTATATAAATAAACCGTTTAAAAAAATGGTTTGTTTCAAGAAGTCAAAATCATTTTTCCCTTATCCATGTGGTATGGCAGAAAGGAGAGATGGTATCATTTTTCCCATGTCTTCTTTTTTTATCATAGTGAATTATAGTAAAAAAAGATGATTAAGGGTAAAAAAAAAGATAATGTTAAAAATAATAAATATATGGACAAGTATAAAAACACAAAAAGTTTCTTTATGATTATAACAACTGAATTGAATTTGCTCCGTGAGGATCTTCTACATACTTTCCAAAAAAAATTGTTGTTTGTTGTCTTATTATTAGATCCATGTCTAGCAAAACAAATATCTAAGTGTTTTTTTTTATTATATGCAAAGAAAAAAATAGTAAATATTATGTGCATGAAAAATGAAATTCAAATTTCCAACTAGAGCGGTAAGAATGTGAATGGAAAAAAGTAACTAGTAGAATATGACATTCACGTGAGTTGCTATGAGAGGCAAAGAAGACAAAGAAGAAGGACAAAAATATATGAATTGTGTGGAATGCTACTACATTGGCCCCATTCGTATGATAAAACCTTATCCACAGAAACCAAATGTTTTTACTGCAAAAACATTTCACTGTAAAGTTGAAACACTTTTCACTTTATTAAATTTTTTTTTTGCCATTAGGGTTTGGTAGTTATTTGCATGAGATTGAGAACATGACATGCAAATAAAAATCATTGAATGCTTGTTCAGACAAATGGACAGATCCCGACGGAATAATTCTGGGAGAGTGGACATAGACAATTAATTTTCAAGATTAATTTGGTCTCTATATGATGCATATTGCATAGGACCATGATGCAGTCTCCATCTTCATAAGTGTAATGGTAACAAACAAGAAAATGTGTATATGGCAGTGATTTTTCAGATACATGTGATATAGTCTTCATTAAGTGATCTTTTTTTCCTTCTATACATAGTTACATCAGTCATCAAGGTTATACACAAATTGGGAATAAATAAGTACACTATGTACTCGTTTAGTTAAGGGATAAGCTTATACACAAATGTCAGGGACTAAGTAATTCGTTTTGGGGATTTGCACAATTGTGTCATATGTCTACAAAAATAATTAAAATGATACATCTTTCAGACATACCTATAAATAATAAAAATCTTCAATTTCTGATCATTATTATAACTAAAAATTAATTATTACTAAATTATTTAATGTTGTAATTTCTAATATATCATCTCTATTTTATTTTCTAACATTTCATTAAATTTAATAAATAGAACATTATAGTAAATTTAATTAATGTTTTCACCAAAATCTAAAAAATTAATTATACTTAGTTGAATTCTTTAATAACCGTAAAAAATATTTTTATTATTTATAAATATGTTCGGAAAACGTAGATACTTTCTTATTACAAATGGATTTTTATCTTGTAAAGACATTTCTCTTCAAATGCTAAAAACAATAATGCACATAATGACAACGCGTAAATATTAGGTCGGTCAAGTCAATGATAACTGTAAATATGAGGTTTGGAACTAAAACAACACACACCTTTAATATATATATATATATATATATATATATATATATATATATATATATATATATATATATATATATATATATATATATATATATATATATATATATATATATATATGTGTGTGTATTTTAGGTTATGTATATTGGCTAGTTTTGAGTGACCTAAAATTATATGGATTGAGTATCAATTTAGACTGAAAAAGATTTACACTTAATTTTTATTGATTTAGAAAAATTATATGATAAAGTATCAAGAGAGATTTTGTAGAAAGTTTTAGAGAAAAAGGGGTTAGGATTGTATATATCGAGTTATTCAAGATATGTATAAAGGAGTATCGACTAGTGTGCAAACACAATGTGGAAAGATAGAAGATCTCTTTATTGTAATAGATTTGCATCAAGCTTCAACTCTAAACCCCTACTTTTTTACTTTAATTTTGAATGTACTCACTGCAGATCCAAGAACTAGAATAGAGATGCAAGTTTTTTACAAATGATATAGTCTAACTTAAAGAGTCGAAAGAAAATGAGGTTGGAGACGAATTTTAGAAACACATGACTTTCACCTAACACTACTATAGATAACACGTTTCACAACGGTTATTACATACATATAACAACGGTTGATAGTTGGTGATAAAGTAGTGTGTGGTATTAAGTGAAATACTTATCATCATGGGATAATGGTCGTGGTAATAAATTGAAAAGCATTCTGTATATCATCATGATTGTAATAAAACCATAGTGAAAAACTAAAAAGTCCTGGTTTCGATACCAGTATTGTCATTTTTAGCGTTTATTAATCTGAAAAACGCTCTACATATAACAATGGTTGAAATAACCAATCGTGGTGAAATAGTTTTTTTTTTTTTAAATTTGATTTTCTGATTTTACAGAATTCACAATTTTTTAAACCTGTATTTTTGTAAATCATAAATAAACCAAAACAACAACACAAATCATATGTGAACCACACCCATATAGTTGACAACTATTAAGAAAAAATAATTGTATTACATCAAAATCATTTTGTATTACATTAAAATGACATCAAAGTGACACAAAACAACTTACAATTTGATATTACACAATTTGATATTACACAAACCATTTTATATTACATCAAAATGACACAAAACAACTTGCAATTTACATATCATTACATCAAATAATATCTACAACACGAGGAATTAATGTGTCTTGGTTTTGATCCCTTGATGTTAAACATTTATAATCTCAAATAATAATACTTGTTAATATATAATCTTAAAAATTATAGCATAAAATAAATTATAAATAAAGAATAAAAGATATTATTACTTGTTAATTTTTATGTATGCCTTCTTCGCTATCAATATGAATAACATGCACATCATCTCTATCCAATTCTTCATATGAAGTAGACACTTGTGTTGCGCAAAAAGGAGACAATGAATAATAAATTTAAATTATAATTTTCATCACTATGAAGATGTGTTTTACTTGGAGAACAATTGATCATCTTTTGTCAAAAGGGTCAGTCACATAAAACACTTGTTTTACTTGGGTAGCCATGATGAATAGTTTGGTCATATAAGTTGTCTTTTCAAGATTAATCTGTATAAATCTTAACTCATCTGTTTGTACACTGATGTTATTACCAACCCACTTGCATTTAAATAAATACACTTTGAATAAAACATAATCAATCTCCTAAATATCCTAAATGACCCCAAAGTAAGCTCTAGATTCTAATATAGGATTCTTATCTTTTGAACTAGATAAATACATGGATTTGATCTTAATTATAACCCCACTATTTTATATTGTACTACGATCATCTTTTAATTTTGTATTAAAGGAAAAATTAGTAATGTCGTATGCAGTCCAAGTTAGTGCGTTATATTTTGGCATGTATGACATCCATTTAATTATCTAGGATGCACTATAATCATAAGAAATCATTTCATTAAACCAACTTATGAAATTCTTGTTATGCTCTTTCCACAACCACTTGCCATTCATTCGAGGATATTTTTCCTTGATAAGTCTTTTGTGGGTAGATAAGTGTTGGCTCCCAAACTCGACACTTACTGTATTTGGTCTTTTGGACCAAACAACTGGAATGGACCAAACCAGGAAGTGTTGGCTTCCAAACTCGACACTTACTGTATTTGGTCTTTTGGACCAAACAACTGGAATGAACCAAACCAGGAAGTATGATTCGACACATGAGATAACTTAAGAAAAAGATCTAAGTTATGATAGGAACCTTCGACCAAGGGCTTATTCGACTGAAGAAGACTTATGTTGCTCGACTGAGAGAAAGTGTTTACGCTTTGGCACATGGAACGAGGACTATTTGAATTTTGAATTATTGGAGGGAAAGGCAGTTTTCATCAGCGTCTGAGAAGAGGCAACGTGGCCAAAAGCTATGGGTCGAGAGACATGCAGAAGACACTTGTCTTCATCCTAGCGCAGAATGTCCCCTCAATGGTTACCTATTTTTAGTATAAATTAAGAAGCTTGTGTAATTTTCAAGTGTGTTCAACCTATTGTACTAAATCACTCAAATATTATCCAAGTAACTACTGCGTGAGAAAGGATAAAGCTGAGCAATGTACGTTGGAAACACCTTTTTTCCTTAATGAAAGTCTGTTTACATTACTTTACCATTATCCTGCAAAGTTATCTTTTTACTTCTTTTACTTGCATTTCTATACTTTTGCTTACCTTTCAACAATCTCAAACATCCTTTCTCTGGGTCGAACGTGCGTTCTTCCTTCTTACCCATTTTACATAAAAATTAGCATATGTCTTGGGATTAGTTTGATCGATCCCCTAAGTAAACCAAAAAACATACCTTTTTGGAGATCAGCGGTTGTTTACCAAAAACAACGGTAAACAAATTGGCACACCCGGTGGGATGTTGCTAATTTTCTATGTTACTGCATTTTTCCTG